CTGCTTTTCACAACAGCGGCAGAAAATCGTCGCGAGGTGCTCGGGGGTGTCCTTCGTGAGGGTTTTATGCCGGTAATCCCATAACGTGGTCCGGCCTAGGGTGTCGAGGAAGAGGCCCTCATCGGCCTTCTCCCGCTCGGCCGCAAAGGCAAAGCTGCGGAGGATGGTGTAGGCCTCATCCGCCGTGATGAATTCGAGAAGACTGATCACCTTGCCAAGGTTGCCCCCACGTAGCCACCGCTCGCGTTGCGCCGTGGAAATGGAGAAAAGGCAGTTCTCAACCCATTCCCCCAGCTTGACCTCATCGGTGCGGCAAAAAATGGCTTTGAACTTTTCTTTCCGGGCCATCCCATGCATTGCCCCTTTGGGCGGAGAGGACTCTCCCTGCCACTTCACCTTCTCGGCGACCGCGCGGTCTAGCCAGGCACCTACCTTCGCGTCCATGAACCACCGATACTCGAGCAACCCCGCCGCGGTAGGCCGCGCGCGGGGGTCGATCACAAAGCAGGCTTTTAACACCTCCAAGCAGTCCTCGGATAATTGCAATGAGGGCAATGGCGGTGTTTGGCAGGTCATAATATGATGAAGGGCGTTCGCAGGAGGCCGATCCGCGAAGGGCGGCTTCCCAGTCAGCAACTCCACACACAAACACCCAAGGGACCACACATCACTACTCGGATCCAAAGACTCCCCGCGCGCCATCTCTGGGGACATCCAATACACCGAACCGACGGCGTCGTGGCCTCCCTCCGGGAGGGTCGCGACGCTGGGCCCTGCGAAGCCAAAATCCGAAAGTTTCACCTCGTCGTTATCACAGACGAGGACATTGGCGCATTTGATATCGCGGTGAATGCTATTTCGGCTGTGGATATAAGCCAGGGCCGCCACGATTTGGTACATCAGCCGTGCCGCATCCCACTCCTCAAAACCGTGTCCTCGGGCCTGTAGTTGGGCCAAAAGCGACCCTTTCGACGCGTACTCTTCCACGATAAAGATGGTTTTGTTGGACTGCATGTGATCTAGGTACCGAATGACATAGGGCTGCGCACATGAGTCATCCCGTAAGGCGATCAGCGTTTCCACCTCGGCCCGCCACCGCTGTACCGTGGCGTTGTCCGATGCGGTCATCTTTTTCACGGCCACCAGCTGATCCGTGACCAAATCAACCCCGAGATAAACGGTCGCACTGCCGCCATACCCCAAGACCTCCTTCAGCTGGTAGGTGGAGTAGCGACCCTTTACGACTTTGGGGTTCTGCATCATTAATTTTTATGACAATGACAGGAGGGTACTTCCCGTTCTTGGGAGAACTGTTTGTACCCGAGTTTTATTTTTTTATTTTTGTGCGTCTGGGGGCTTTCGAGCTGTTTGAAGCTTCTTTGAACAAACAAAAAGAGATTGTAGAGGGGTTAAGGGGAAAAAAAAAGGAAAGCGTTAATGACAAATTCATCAAAACAGCAGTGATACTACATAGGAGAAAAGGAAGGTATATATACTTAAATATGAATATAATTTTGTCGAATAAATTCGGAGTCCTCCCCTCCCCAAAATATGCTTCTCGAAGTTTTATTGCCTACAGTACGATTTCACTTCGTGCCCGCTGCCGGCCGACCTTTGATCTGGAGCGCAACGCTTCGTGCAGGGGCTGATGACCCTGTAATACCTTAATGCATTGACCTGCTTCTGTCAGGTTCTTCATTGCGGTATGTAGTACCGCAGAATCGATTCCAATATCACAGTCGAGTGAATACTTACTAATTTTATTGACAGTTTCTACATCACCAGCCCGTGCTGCGCGCTCGAATATGGGAAGGATCATTTCTATTTCGACTCTCAGGCTTGGATGGCGTTCAACTTCTTGTAAGTAATATACAGCCTCATCAATGTCATCATGTAGGACGGCCTGTCGAATTAGTACACGAAAGGTTTGCGAATTGGGTACAACCCCAACCTTGAGAATCGACTCGTAAATGGTCCGTAACAATACGGAACCACGCTGTGTTCTGGAGCCCACGAGAAGGCAATTTAGAGTACTTGTCTGAGGTCTCACACCCCATATTGTGTCGTAAGAAAAGACCAGTTCCATGGCCCGCCGCTCCTCGCCAAGTTTGCATGCCGCCAACACAATTACGTCAAGTGAATGAACGGACACTAATTCACCACGGCGTTTGCGTTCTTTGAGGTGCGCCAGCGCATCATCGAGCAAACTCGGAGAGCGGATCGCATCCGCGAAAATCATTAGGAAATGCCGATCCATAGTATACCGCAAACACTCCACGCTGTAGCGTTTAAACAGGTCCGTAAAATCCAAGTACCCCTTACGCGCCATCAACTCCACCACGTCAAAGGCCTTCCCAAGCTCCAGGGCTTGGACCCAGCACCAGACCAGCAAGGCGAGGAGGTCCGCGGTTCGCGCCATCATGTGGCGGTCCATCAGGGCCAGCACCTGCCCCGCGGTCACCGCGTCCGCGCACTTGGCGCAGCGCAGGAGCAGCTGGGCCATGTGCTGCGGCTGGAGGTACTGCGTGAAGTAGGCCTTGTCCAGCACGCAGCGAATCTCAAGCTCGAGCATGAGCCAAAGCACGTACTCCGGAGGGAAGCCGGTGGGGGCCATCGGGCTCCCCGCCGGGGCCGCGGGTGGCCGATGGCCATCCTCGGCTTTCGGCGCGGAGGGAGGGGCGGCCGAGCGGTGGGCAGGGTCCTGCAACCAAGCTTCAATCCGCTCGACCAACATGCGTTTGTCGATAATGGCGGAGCCGTGTTTGAGGGCCTGGCGTGTCACCTCCACGACAAAGACGCTGTCCGGGCTGGAAGGTACAACCCGTAATAGCATCACCTGCACGGTGCAGGGTAAAGGGTCAAGCTCTTTTTCATGGATCAGCTCATCCCATAAACCCTTCGGGTCGAGGCCAGCACGAACGTGCAGCTCAATAAGATAATGATAGGTCAGCGAGTTGGGAAGAACGTCAGCTTCTTGCATTTCTTTCAAGATAAACATCACCTCATTCCGGTCAAAATTTTTTCGGCATGTCAAAACCTCTAAGTATGCATTGAAAATATTTGCATTGAGCAGGGAAGGTCTGTTCCAGTTTATCACTCGGGATACCTCACCGGTGCCGATGGGATGTCTTGCCAGAGAGCAGTTGAGCCCCACAAAAGTTGAAGAAGGTTGAGGCGAATTTCGCTGACGTAGACTCCATTCCGCAGTCGGTGAGCTCGTCAGACCTTTTCTTGGCGCAAGGTCTCTTAACGCAACAACAAAAACATTCCGAACACCTTGCATTTGTCCAAGCGACACGTAAGCCCTCATAAGGATCAGCACAACGTCCCTGGCCTCACACGGGTTAACACAGAAATTCAAAAAAGATTCTTTATCAGGACGAAAAGTTGCTTCATAATAATTCACTACCTTTGAAAAAGATTTTTGATTTATCCATTCTTGCATCAAGAGTAGCGGGGTTTGTGAGAAGGATGGACTAGATTGTACAGGGCCATTCATTAGCACAGATGGTTTTACTTCACTCCCATGGGGTTTGTTCGCTGCAGTCTCAACTTGAACTAGACCAATGTGAGTTTTAGGTACGCACGTGGAGTCCTGGATGCAGGTGCTTTCACACTTATTATCAACATTGCTAGTATTATTGGAGTTGATGAAATTTGAACCAATAAATTGACGTCGTGTACGGGAGGAATGATTCTGGGAGGAATTTTCAGGAATATGATGATACGAATAAAATGTGGTGAAAGTAGAATTAAGACAATTTTGGTGTTTATAACACCTAAAAAAGTGCACTAGAGGTAAACAGAAAGGCTTCATATGTGTTTACATAAAAAGTAACTGAATAAGCTCTTAATTTAGGTGATAAAGGTGATCTACCAAAAAACAGCGTAAAAACAAGAAAATAAAAGTCATTTTCCGTGAAATAGTATATGTAAAAAAAAGAAAGTGGGAAGTGAGTAGTGATCAGTTGAAATACACATTATCAAAGGCATCGGTACAACTAAAATTTGAAGAGGCAACGCACAACAGTCAAGTTTAATACGATAATATTTTTCCGAAACAAGATAAAGCAACATTATACTAAAAACTGTTTGAAAAAAAGTAAAAAAAATACTGAAACCTTAAAACAAAGAGTAAAGTTTATAAATACGAGTATTGTCTCATAATTAAAATGAGATACTGTAAATTTAGTTATTATAATACAAATAACTAAATAGTCACAAAGTGAAAATAATGGTAATAAAGAAAGGGAGTGCCCGATATTTTTCTAGTCGCGGATCCGAGGACCCTGGTTAATGGATTTTTTCATGCGGTTAATTTTTTGCTTTTTTTTTCAAGACGGTGCTTCCGATTGGAAGGGACCAAAGTTAAAAGAAGAAAGGGTCAAGATCATACATTTGACTCATAATGATCTTGCCAGTAAAATATCGTGATAGTTTGCGTGTTTTTACCCTTTTAAACCTTTTTTTTTCAAACTATCTGTGTATCTGTTTAGATTTTATTGAAAATATAATATATATATGTAGATATATATAATTTGAAAATTCTATTTGTCATGGTTTATATAGCTTTCCTTAGTTTACTTACTTCATGGAGACGGCGAGGGCAGTAATCATTGTCGCGCCCATACCGCTTCCGTCCTTCTGCAGCACCAACGTTGACTTAGCTTCCCGGCCCAGAATAGCATTCACGTTGTCCTGGTACAGGCGCTGGAAGGATGGCATCTTCTCGTAAACGGAGCCATCCACGGCAACCGTCGCAAGGCCTTGCACGCGCGTCTTAAGCAATGGGGCGCTGGTGAGCATAGCAGCCTGCTGGGCGGAGCGATTGCGAACGAGACGGCAGACATCGCGAACCACCTTCAGATCCGATATATCAGTAATATCCACACCGGTCGCCTTCTTCATCAACCTGCGCGTAAACTGCAGACCCGGTCCTTGATCGGCTGTGATCATGCCCATGTACTTGGTCTCAAAGGACATCCGCTTCGACATCGCCTTGGCCAGATCGGGAGTTAGGCATCCAATCTCAGACAGCTGCACTATCATGTAGCGCGCGATCTCGCCAAGGTACATGCCAGAAACAATCTTTTCCTGAAGCTGGTTGTTCGGGTTTATCGACTTTTCGTCGATCATCTCGTCGTACCGGGTGATGGGAAGAACGTACCTGTACTTGGAGTCGAAGTTGCCGCACTCCATGTTAATGGCTGTCATGCGGTCGCCATGCGCGGCCACGGCGGGATTCTTGGTGACAGCCGCGCTGCGTTCGAAGTAACATGCGTTAGACCCTGTACCGACGATTACACCAACCTGCGCATTCTCATCAACAAAATAGCGCGCGATGAGGGTGCCGACGGTGTCGTTGCAGACTGCCTCCACGTTCATCTTGATGCCCACCTTCCTGAACGACTCCCGCAGCAGCTGTGCGACATCTTTGCCCACCACGCCCTCGGTGGAGAAGCCCTTGGTCCACTTGATGAGCACGCCGGAGTCGATGCTCTTGAGGTCGCAGGGGAAGCTGAAGGTGAAGCCCATGGGCAACTCCTTCTTGATGTCATTGGGCACCTTCTCGGTCATCATCTTCTTTACGCTCTCCGCGATAAAGCCGAAGAGGTCGTCAGAATTCCCTGTGAGCGCAGGGGTGGG